TAACCGAGGAGTACCAACAATTGTGTCCACATGTGTACATGGGGGAAAATGGGAAGTAGGGAAGAAAACACTTATCCTGTGCCTGAATCATCCATCTGAGCTGTTCTTATGTTTTCAGAAATGCACCAAAATGTAAATCAGGCTTTGCAAACATAGTTTTATTAATTTTTAACCAAATTCAAATGTGGTGCTGCCAGCTAAAACTTCACTTACATTTTCTGGCCAATAGTTGAGTTTTCTTGAAAAAGGAGATCTACATCGATGTCAAAGTTACATGTGGTGATGCACCAGGTCATACCCCCGACCACCTGTACAGGAGAAATGGAGGAAACAGTTTAGTGGAGGTGGAAGTTCACTGGGCTGATAAAGAAATGGGACTGTCTGTTGTGTGCAGTTTTTAAACTATTTGTAAAAGACATAAAGGTACTCACTTTATGCCAAGCTGGTTGAACAGTTAACCCTCATGTGTCGTGATAAAATTTTGGTCTTTTTCATCTTTTATTTTTATAACATTTTGGCAGTGTTGATGCATTTGGCATAAATGTGGTAAAGGTGTGTATTTGTACGCAATAAAGTCCCACTCTGGACTTCTGGACACTGTGATCTGTCTCCATCTCTTTCTCTTACACAAATACACACCTTTAACACACCTGTTCACTCACACACACATGTATGTATGAACATGCACATGCACACTCAGGCTAATCATTTCAATGTAATATAATTTCTGATACCTCAAACGTACAGTATACAGTAATGTCTTACCATATACACACGCGCATGCATGCACTCCTTGAAGTACATGGGGCCTCTTGCAGCACTTTAAAAACCAAACCAGTGGTGAAAAAATCTTGGGTTTATCTGGTAAATTTTGGACCATCAGTGAGTGTACACAGGTGCTATTACAATCAAAGGTGTCGGAGAGAAGGATGCTGTCCAAGCTGCACGTCATCTTTGAAAATGTCTCACACCCACTCCATGATGTGTTGGTAGCTACAGGAGTACTTTCAGTACAAGACTTATTGCACCAAGATGCACCACAGAGTGCCACAGAAAATCATTCCTGCCTGTGGCCATCAGACTGTACAGCTCTTCACTCTGAGTCTCAGACACTTTGAGTGAAAAGGTTTACCATTGACTTTGAACTGTTTAATATTGTGCAATTACCATTCTACATGCAATGAACACAATTAGTAGTACTATTATTACATACACTTATAACAGCAAGAGTGTATATTTATTTTTGTGTTATATTTTTATTTTATTTTCATATTTATACTTTTGATTTTATTATACATCTTTACTTCTACTTCTTTAGGACTTTTGATTGGGAGCATCTGCAACTGAAAGCAATTTCCCC